CTGCTCACTCTCCATCTTCTCAGACAGTTGCTGCAACTCATGCTCCAGTCATTCCATCATTCTTGGACCATTAGCATAAGTTTGCCTCTATAATCACCTTCATAACCTCGAACCTCCCTACATTCCTGGCGACTCCGATGGGCAGGCTTCTTTGTTGATGGTTCATGCCTATAGTGGTTTACACATTTCATTAGAAAAAATGGCAGAGGATGAAGTTCAGCAACCCCTATGGCAACAAGGCTCTTCTAATGGCGGAGCAGCACATGCGGAAGACCGTAACCACAATGTTATGGTTGAGGCAGTCCAGTCACTCTAGGATACGCAGAAGGAGATCTTGGCAGCTTTGCAAACTCTCACTAAGGTTATTATGGCCATGGCATCCAGACCCAGCACAAGCACCTCTGCCTGTAGCAATCCCAAACCCAGTGTCTAACTTGCTCCTTGAGGTTTGGGCTCCGATCCAAGTGCCTCCGGTGGTACCTCAGGCGAACGGTACGGCCACTGGTTCAGCTACCCAGGAGAAGACTGGTCTATTCCAACCCACTCACTTTGTTACTCTAGCCGGCGTACAAGCTATATTCGAGCAAGAGCGTAGCAAGAAACAACTGCTATCTCTCCCAGACCCAGATGTGAAACCCCCATACTCTTAGGAGATATTAAACATGCCATACCCAACTGGGTATACAGTGCCCAAGTTTATTAAGTTTGATAGAAAACAAGGCAATACCAGAGAACACGTGGTAAGGTTCATTGAAACCCTTAGTGTCCATGGCAGTGACCACTCTCTGCGCCTTCGAGAGTTCTCCAAATCACTTATTGAAAGAGCTTACAGCTGGTATGTGAACTTGGCCCCTAACTTGATCAAGAGTTGGAAGAAGATGGTAAACAAGTTCCACACGAAGTTCTTCCAAGTCCAAGAGAAAGTTACAACCCTCACACTTAGGTGACATATCCAAAAAGAAAGCGAAGATATACTGGACTATGTTAAGCAATTCCAAGATAAGGCTATTGACTGTCACGAACCAGTGGATAAGGCCCATTTAGTCAACATATGTGTGTAGGGTGCCATATACGACTACAAAATTTTCTTAGTGAACCATAATTTGCCTACCTTTTTAGCCTTGGTTGAGGCAGCTAGGAATCTCAGTACCACTGGCCCTCTGCATAGATCTCGCAATAGTCACCGCTACTCTCGCAGTAGCAGAGTAACTGCGGTAGCCTCTGCAAGAGGGAACAGATCGCAAGGGTAGGCATCGTCCTCTCAGAAGAGAAAGAGTTATGAGGACAGAAATCCATATCCTTGTAGCCTTGAGAATGTTAAGGCCTTGGTTAAAGAATTGGTAGTCAATGGTAAACTTACTTTGCCTTCAGTTGATGTCCATCTAACCAAGACAAAGAAAGCCCAGATTATTGTATCTACCACAGAACTACCAGACACCCTACTAGGGACTGTTGGACTTTGAAAAGTATCTTCAAGAAGAACGTTGACGCAAATAAGCTAAAGTTCAAAGATGGCGGCAAGCATGATGTAAGGAAGGACCCTTATCCTAACCACAAAGAGAATGAGAAGAATGTACATATGATTAGATATCTTAGGCCCGTGCGTGATCAAGTGCACATGGTGTCCTACTATGATGAGTTAGAAAAAACCCCTAGTGGCCAGCTCCCTAAGACAGTACCTGTAGAGGCAAAATTCGCAAAAGATACTCATGCTCAGACCTTGCAAAACTCTGTTAAGTTTCGCACCTCCTTTGACCAGCTGGGGCTGAGCCAAGCCTCAAAATTAGAAGCAACAAAGGCCCTCATTAACATTTTCAAAGTGCACCATACTAAAGTTGCTAAGGCTAAGAAGTATGTGCCTCGGCGTATCCAGGAAGATTATGAGGCCATTACTTTTTCAAAAGTAAATAGAGCATACCCATTTCCTTATAACCGTCCTCTTTTTGTCACAGCTTACATCAATGATGTAGAGTTCAAGCGTGTTTTCCTTTATGGTGGGGCGTAGGGGTGTCCGTGGTTCGGTTTGGGACGGTTTGCAGTTCGGTTTGGACCCGCCCGCAGCTATGCGGTTTTGGGAAAAGTCAACCCGCAACTGCCCGCAATGTGGTTTGCGTTTATGCGGATAGGGTTCGCGGATGTGCGGGCGGTTGCGGGTGGTTTGCGGATTGAACTTTTTTTCTAAAAATTTATTTTTAAACCTTTTTTTTTTCATTTTGTCAATCTTTATTTTGGACCTTTTTCCTCATATTTTCTAAAATGCTCCAATATTAATAATTAATAAATTAAAACTTATAAAAAAACTTATAAAATAAAAAACACAACAAATTCTTGAACTTGCATTCAAAATCAACATTGAAAATTCATTGACCTAAACAAATCATTCAAAATCTACATTCATCATTAACTTGCATTCATCCTACATTACATTCATCATTCATAACTCAAATAAAAAAAACCCTACATTGAAAATTCAACATTCATCATTCCTACACCCTCCCCAAAAAAAAAATTAATAATAATAATTCTTCATTAACTGACATTCATCCAAAATGCAAAAAAAATAAAAATTCATTAACTTACATTCATCCAAAACCAAAACGCAAATAAAAAAAAATTGTTGTCAAACTTCATTCAATACAAACCCATGAAATAAAATTAAAACATTTCTAAGATATCAAACTTCATCGTCATGAATTACATCCAATTCAACTTTTACAAATTCCAACTCCAATTCCAATTCTAATTCCATGCATTTGGTTGATGAACCCTACACAATAACAAATTGAAAAAATATAAACTTAATCTTCAATTATAGTAAGAAATGAAAAGGTAAACAAATGTACAATCACGGAATCAATTTTACAAACACAGATTCAATTTTAATTTTATTAACAGATTTAATTCAAAAAATTAAATAACAGATTAAATTAAATAACATTTAAATAACAAACAGATTTAGTAACAGATTCAGATTTACAGATTCAGATAAATAAAACAGATTCAATTTCAGATTTAATTTTAATAACAGATTCAGATTTAATTTAATTTTAATAACAAATTCAGATCAAACAAAACAAATTTAAGAAAAAATTCAGATTTACAAATTCAGATTTACAGATTCAGATCAAACAGATTCAAATCAAACAAAACAAAACAAATTTAGATCAAACAAAACAAACACATAGGCCAAAACAAATTCCAAAATAAAACAGATCTAATTCAACATAAACAACTCTAATCAGACTATACAAACCCAACAACTAAAACATTCAGAGTCAAACAAGAGGATGCCTCAAACAACTAAAACAACTCATATATGCCTTATCAGATTCCTCAGAATATCAAATAAAAAACAGATCTAATTAGATCAAATAAAAAACAGATCTAATTAGGTCAAATAAAAAACAGATCTAATTAGATCAAATAAAAAACAGATCTAATTAGATCAAATAAAAAACAGATCTAATTAGATCAAATAAAAAACAGATCTAATTAGATCAAATAAAAAACAGATCTAATTAGATCAAATAAAAAACAGATCTAATTAGATCAAATAAAAAACAGAAGCTGATTCGAAGTGAAGCTGAGTCGAAGTGAAGCTTACTTGTGAATCAAAAAAACAGATTCAACATCAACAAATTCAAAGAAGAAGAAAAAAAAAAAAAACAGAGATCGAGTCTTACCTGAGCAGAGTCGATCTTACGAAGCACGACGGAGAGAGTGAGATTCGAAGTGAAGCTGCGTACAGAGTTACGATGAGAAAGCAGATCGATCGGTGATGAGGAAGCAGATCGATCGGCGATGAGGAAGCAAAGTTAAGGATGAGCAGACAGACTTGAAGTCGATCGGCGATGAGCAGACAAAATTAAGAGGTCGATCGGTCATGAAAAACGAGAGAGAGAGAGAGAGACTGATATGAGGTGAGATGAGAGAAGGAGCTCAACTCTCTCCTCTAAGCTCCAGCTGCGCAAATGTATGAGATGAGAATGAATTGTTAGGGTTTGTTTTTTTACTTTTGTTTGTAGAATAAAGATAAAAATCAACAGTTCAGATTTCACATTAAAAAAAATAATAAAAAAAAAATATAAAAATAAAAAAAAGCGGGCGGGTTGGGCGGATGCGGTTCGTGCCTCGGCGTATCCAGGAAGATTATGGGGCCATTACTTTTTCAGAAGTAAACAGAGCATACCCATTTCCTCATAACCGTCCTCTTTTTGTCATAGCTTACATCAATAATGTAGAGTTCAAGCATGTTTTCCTTTATGGTGGGGCGTCCATAAACATTAACAGTACTGACACCTTTGCAAAGGCTGATATCCCAGAGTCCAGGATGGTTCGCCAACCCATTATTGTGATGAGTTTTGGTGGTAAGAAAAAAGTTACTAAGGGTCATGTTGTCATGGACTTAGCAATTGGTGAACTCCGTTCCACAACTAAGTTCCATGTGATTGAAGCGGACACAAATTACCATATGATACTTGGCCAAGCTTGGATGCACCGATATGGGGCTATCCCGTCAAGTTATCACCAATGCGTGAAGGCAAAGTTGGAAAACACACAGTAACCATAAGTGCGTCTGAAAAGCCATTCGGAATGGAGGTGGCACACTATTCGAATGCAATTTTCTTTACTAAGTTGTTAACGGATGAAACTCCAAGGACTGGTAAAGTTGTAGGAGTAAAATTGCCAAAGTGGAAAGACATTCGGGATGCAAAGGCTACTCCAGAAAGTAGTGGGTAGAAGAGGAGCAACAAGTCCACAAGTCCTCTACCCAAGATTGTTAAGGTGTGCAAGGGCGACAAGACAATTTACTACTTATGACGGTCTCGGAGGCTAGAATTCATACCTTAGGAGGATGGCCCCGAGACAAATAAATGTGACGGTGATGAGTCCCAAAAAAGATTGGTAGAGACGCTTGAGCCCGCCCCTGAATACATGCAAGATAAACCCAAACCGCAACAGGAGGTACTTGTTGAGGTTAACCTCAGCGACTTACCACAATGGTTCCAGCAGCAAAGGAAAAATTGATAACACTACTGAAGCGGTACAGTGACGTCTTTGCTTGGACATACGACGAGATGCCTGGTTTTGACCTATCCCTTGTCACCCATCATCTGGATACTTTTCCCAACTCTAAGCCAATCAAGCAGCATGCTCGAAAGTATCACCCTGATCTTGAAGTAAAGATTAAGGCGGAGGTAGAAAAGTTGCAGAGGGCCAAGTTCATTGAGCCCATATAGTACCCAACTTGGCTAGAAAATGTTGTGCCTGTGAAGAAGAAGAACGGCCAGATCAGGGTCTGCGTAGACTTTCGCAACCTGAATAAGGCTTGCCCAAAAGATGAGTTTCTATTGCCCCATGTTGACACACTTGTCGATTTTACTGCGGGCCATCAGATACTCTCCTTTATAGACGGGTTCAATGGTTATAACCTGATCAAAATGGCACTAGAAGACGCAGAAAAGACCGCTTTTAGAACGCCCTTGGGAATTTTTTTCTATACAGTGTTGCCCTTCGATTTGAAAAACGCGGGGGCAACCTACCAATGGGCTATGACTGCAGTGTTTCATGACATGTTACATCATGAAGTGGAAGTATATGTGGATGATCTGGTGGTCAACTTTACTAAGGCAAACCGACACCTCTGCGACTTGGAAAGGTTTTTCAGTGTTGCCGCAAATTCTGCCCAAAGATGAACCCTCTCAAGTGTGCCTTCGGAGTTACTACCAGCAAGTTTCTTGGCTTTCTTGTACACCAGTGGGGGATCGAAGTAGATGGGGATAAGATCAAGTCAATCATGGAGATGCCACCACCGCACTCTCAAAAGGCCTTGAAGAAATTCCTAGGCAAAGTGCCATACCTTAGGAGGTTCATTCCAGCCCTTACTGAGATAACCTTTTCCTTTGGGGCACTGTTGAAAGAGAATCACAAGTTTGAATGGTTGCAAGAACACCAACAGGCATTCGATATGGTGAAGAAAGCACTTACCTCTCCATTTACAATGATTACCCCACAACTCGAAAAGCCTCTGCTATTGTACCTGACCTCTACATCTTGGTCTATTGGAGCTCTACTTGTCTTAGACATAAATGGCATTGAGAAGCCAATTTATTACATCAATCGCAAAGTCAATGGTGCCGAGTTACGATATACCCCAATTGAAAGGCATTGTTTAGCCTTAATCTTCACAGCGCAGAAGTTGCACCACTATTTTTTGCCACACCCGATCCAGGTTGTAACCTGGAGTGATCCAATCTGCTACTTGCTGAGTAAGCCCGCTTTGACTGGAAGAATGGCATGATGGCTTTTGGCTCTAGCAGAATATTGCATCACTTGTGTTACTCCCAAGGCTATTAAGAGCCAAGCACTTGCAGACTTACTGGCCCAATTCTCATTTGGTAAACATGAACTTGCAGAGGTACCTCTACTAGGTGAGGTCCATGTCTCAGCAGTTGTAGTTGAGACTTACTGGGACTTAAAATTTGATAGAGCTTTCGGAGTTGGGAAAGGTGGAGCTGGCATAACACTAACCAGTCAAGAAGGAGAGAAGTTTCATCTATCATATAAGCTTGACTTTGAATGTTCAAACAACGAGGCTGACTATGAGGCGTTGATACTGGGTCTAATTACTGCCCAAAAGAAGGGCCTCCACAAGTTGAAAATTTGGGGTGACTCCAAGCTAGTTGTCAAGCAAACAATGGGTGATTTGGCCTTAAAAGAGCCTCTGTTGGCCCCATATCACACTGTAGTTCAAAGGTTGCTCACTCAGTTTGATGATGTCCAAATCCAGCATACCCCACAAACATATAACCATTTCCTCAATGCCTGGGCAACTCTAGGGGCAAATGTGGATATACCAGATGATAGTATAGCCATGGTCATCGAGAAAAAAACAACACCAGCAGTGTTTGCCGAAGAACATACAGAGCAGGATGTTGAGAAGTGGAAAACAGATATAATCCAGCAGTTGAAAATAGGCTAGGAAACATTTAGATTAGCAGAACTTGCATCATTTCTGCTCTTCAAAGGAGAGTTGTATTTTCGAGGTCCCAACAACCTGCTAGCAAGGTGCGTCGACAGACAAGAAGTAACTTACTGACTTAAGTAGATCCATGCTAAGTCTTGTGGAGATAGAGATATCAATCTATACCAACGAATACAGATGCAAGGGTATTACTGGACAAAGAAAGAAAAGGAAAGCACTGAGTTGCAAAGGCAATGTGCAAAATGTCAGTCCTATCCTAAAGAAGAAGAAGCCCATTTCTTAAACAGTGAGGAATAGAGACAGCTATTTATTGACTATCTTGGAAATGGCACACTACCTGAGAACAAAGCCGATGCAATTAGAGTTAAGAGGCGGGCCCTCTGCTTCTTCCTTGACCAAGACAAGCTATACCACAGAAGCTTTGAAGGGGAACCTTTGGCGTGTTTATTAAAGGATGAGGTAAACGAAGTGCTGAGGGAAGCCCACAAGGCAGAGCATCAAGGAGTGCAGTGATTATATGGGCACCTTAATCACCTCAACTACTACTGGCCAACAATGGAATAAGATGCTAAAAACTTTGTAAGGAGATGCCAATCCTGCCAGAAGTTTAGGAACTTGGTACAAATGCCGGCGGTTGAAGTACACAACATCAAGACCCTTACCTGTTTCATACTTGGGCATTTGACCTGGTAAGTCCTATAGCGCAGCAATCCAAAGGCCACAGATAGATACTTACAGCGACTGAAGTTAGTACCAAGTGGGTAAAGGCTATACCAATGAGGAAGGAAGATGGGGCATGAGTGGCCAACTTCATCAAAGAAAGCATAATCTGTAGGTTTGGCATACCTAATGTGATGTTGCCTGATAATGGGACCCCCTTTGTAAACCACCAAGTGGAAAGATTGTTGGACACTTATCCAATCAAGCATCACAAGTCTACTCCGTACTACCAGCAAAGGAACGGATAAGCTGAGGCAACCAACAAAACTCTCATCCAAATATTGAGTAAAATGATGGATGAAACAGGGGGGCACATGGTCTGAACAACTCCATGTAGCACTCTGGGTGTATAGAACGTCAAAGAGGAGGCCAACTCAGGCAATCCTATTTTCCCTAGTATATGGGTCCGAAGCTGTGTTACCAGTTGAGTTAGCAGTACCCTCAGCAAGAATGGCTATGTCAACACACTTAGTTCTAGACAGCAGAAAGAACGACATAGAGGCAGCCGAAGAAAGAAGGGATCGGGCCTCATGGGCAATGGAAAAGTATCATTAGTCTATAGCTCGCGCCTACAATCTATTTGTTCAACACAGGGAGTTCAAGGAAAGGGACTTGGTATGAAAGACAGTGGACGCAACCATTCTGGAGTAACCAATCCCTCACACTCCTTGATAGTCTCCTCCAAAGATGCAATCATCACGATATTATCTGCATATTCAAGGAAACTATCGACTGCCTGAAACCTATCCATCATCCACGATAGGTTCAAACCGTTCCTCTCAAAACTGCTCAAGTTGGCCTCAACACCTTTCACGAACTTGCTGGGGGTTATCAGAATCTTCTTAGCAGCAAGCTCGCGAATGAAGCTGGCAAATGACTCCAGCAATGCTTTCTGCACCATAGATCCAAAAACGTTAAAAGCAGTAAATGTACTGGGGTACAGCGCCTGGATACAGGCAAGAATGGGAGGAACTTCGGAGAAAACCCAAAAACTTAGAAAAGAAACCTTTCCTGAGGACTGAAGGGGCTCTCTCACACCGTCCCCGGCTTCAATTACTAGAGGGAGACTAGTAGAGCAACCAAAGGTCTGAGGGCGACGCACCTCCCTTGAAAATAATTGCCTAGCAGCATTGGAGTGGGTAGACGCTGGGTGGCGACCAGGCGAACTGGCCTCGCGAGAAAGGCCAAAGCTGCTTGCACCATCATGTCGCTCCGAAAAGAGGTCATCCATATGGTAGTCCTCAACGTTTAGATTTGGCACAACAGTGGTGTCCATGCCCACATAAAAGTCTCGTGATCCCCAAAGATTAGCTGGCACCTCAGGGAAGTGAGTTGGGTACAGATCAACTAGTTGCTCAGAAGTTGCTAAGGCAACTAGGTTAGAAGCATTAGCAACAGCAGTAGTACCATGAGCGGCTAGATTGACAGTTGCCTCCACAAGTCGAGCCAAACTTGGAGGGTCCACAGTAGGAACAACCGTTACATCCACACCTCCCTCAGCAACTTGAACATTGGGGAGTGGGGTCTGTGGAACTAGTGGAGACTTAGTGGACTGGGAAAAACCCCCAAATACAGTTCCCAATGGGGGTGGTGCAACTTCTAGTGGCTCTCTTACGTCACGATCCTCTCTCGGAGTCTCTGGAACAAAATCATCTCCGTCGATAAAGGAACTATCAGAGTGAACAGAATCAGCAAGGTTTGGAGGTTCTACACCCTCAATAACCATACTACCCGCTGCAACTTCCATAGTAGGGGGAACTTGTTCGTTTTCTACAGCCTCAACAACCGGCTCAGCCTCGGTAGTTGGTTCAGCCTCAACACTTGGTTCTTCTTCAACATCTGGAAGCACCATCCGGCAAGTTATGAATCTTGTGACCCTTGAAGCAATGGAAAGGTCATCGTTGTCTTCTAAATCTGAGGAAATTCTGATGACAATAGAAGAACCCTCGGGGCCCGGGGTGGTATGGTCGATGGGCCCTGAAAAGGAAAATGATCATGTGAATACTAAAATAAATGTAAAAAGCCCAATGAAGTAATGCAAAGACATTTTCCAAGTATGGGTACCTTTCGGAGTCTTTTCTTACTTGGTGAGGCACGTGCCTCAGTAACTGACGTCGTTGCCTCTTGGGCTACCCTCCGTTTGGAACAGGTCATGTGCACTGTTACACCAATCAAAGGAAGAGCAACTTATAGGGGTTGGACGGACATTGCCCCAGATGGATGAGGCTCATCTACTACAGGTAGGGACAGAAACTTGAAACGACAGAATATACTAATCTGTTTCCCTCGGCTAAAGGGGAGACGAAGGGATAAGTCAGGCTGCGGAATGGGTTCCATCGTAGAGACAACGGGAGAACTGTTACAAAAGTTGAAAGAGGATTTGAGGTTGCGGTACTAGAACAACCTGTTACTAAGAGTAAAGGCATTTTCTCGTCTAAGTGAAGACAACTCCATGAGGCCTAAACCATCTACGAGTAAGGCAGTGTAGTCACGTACAAACCTCTAAAAGCTCTGATAAAAATCTGTTTGGGGCGAAGGGGTGTGGGGGATGCCCTAGTCCATGCTGAATTGCCTAAGGACCCTATTCGGTCAGTAGACAACACTGGACATGCCGTTTTCATTCCATATGGGTAGAAACCCGGGCGTATCATGGCAGCCAGTAGAAGGGAGTTAGCCTGGACACTGTCAAGGGAGAAATCAACATAACGAGCCTCTGAGAAATAGAATGGGACAACAGAAATGCCTGGAAGGAGTTGGGTAAAAGAACGGAACACACACTCCTCCATGTGATCGACGTAATCCACGAAGGGTCTATTAGTGCCACCAAACCACTAGGAGATGCAAGGGAGGGGTTGACGCACTTGTCTTGTGACAGGTTGACCCTCTACATCTAGAACAAGACGGTCCTCTGCATCAAGGACTTCGTCAGTGAAGATGGGCTCATGCTCTTTAGGGACCGGGCCCATAGCAAGGAATCGCTCGTAGAAGAAGGCGGGTTGGAACTGAGTGTGTACAAAGCTCCATACATCATAGCAGCCCATGGATCTCTCCATGTCTGAGTGGATGAGGTCAAGACGGAAGTATAAGATCCCTAAGAAGATAGGGGCCTGTCACGACCCAAACCCGGCCCTATGGGTTTAGCACCGTAACCGGCCAGTAATTCGAGATTACCGAAGGCCTACAGAACAGAAATACAGTAAAACAGAGTACAGGGCCTGGCGGAAGCTAATACAGTAATTAAACAATGTCCAATGAGCTGTGACAGTCTGTATGCCAAAAGATTTTTCATGCATTCATACATAAACAGTACAGAACAGTATGTACAATATATACATTCATTCAAACTAGGGACTCAACCCTAGGTAGCGGTACAGTGAACAGTCAGTCTATACAAAACAGTGAAACAGTACAGAAGGGGAATTCTTAAAACACCCCTAAGCCTTAGCAGATAGGCTCGGAACCTCGCAGTGAGGCACAAAGGCTGGCTTGACAAAACTGAAGTCTAACCCACGCTCCTAGCTCCGATCTGGTGGCTGAGCACCTACATATATATATAAACAGTGAGCTAAAGCCCAGTGAATAACATAATGCGTAAAGGGGTTTAGAATGAACGTCCTTACAGTAATGAAAACAGTTCAATTCAATCAGCATTTCAGTTGTTCAGTACAGTAAACAGTCATATGTGTTACATCCATTAGCATAGCAGTAACAGTAGGTCTTAAAAGACCAAACAGTAATGATGGCCATCAGTCAGTAAACAGTAGTGGTTCCACGAGGGAACCGACAGAGAATTCTGTCACAGTAACAGTAAGCAGTAGGTGCTAAGGATGCCACAATACAGTTCAGAACATAGGACATACATTCATTCAAATAACAGTATCAGTTCAGAAAGCAGTACAGTTCAGTTGTTCAGAAAATAATCATTTGTGAACATATCTTTACACAATCGTTACTCACAGAGTTCTGGGCTACGGTATGCTAGAGCGTGTCTCCCCAGTCGCCAACCCTACACAGTTAACAGGTTGAACACACTAAGCTACACAGTTGGGAAATCTCATAACTTAATCCCTAATTTGCCTTGGTGTGTTCTACATCTATCTCCTCATTAAGATGCCTTAAACTAGGCCTAAGAATGCCTAGGATGGGATGAGGATGCAAAAATACACTTAGAAAACATTTTGCAAACTTGCTGAAAATGGGAGCCTCGCTCGAGCGAGACTCTCTCCGCTCGAGCGGGCTTCCAAAATCAAAGGCTTCGCTCGAGCGAGTAATCCTTC